CACAGAAACATAGTTTGCGATAAAAAATTGTCCTATCCAATAAAATTATACAGCACACCCAGCACTGTAGCTGCTCAAAGAGCATGTAGCGGTGGCCGGTGTAAATAACCCCGTAGGAATCGACTAAGCGGCGACAGTACTTATGCCATGAAATTATGTATTGGGGGAGTCATGTCCTTACTGGAACCTTTAAGAAAGTAGTGAACTGCAAAATTATGAGTATTATGAGGTGTCATTCAGATAATTTTGAAAATATTTCGCCTTTGGAACATTTCCTCATATTATGCATCAATTCAATGAGTCAATCAGCGTTTCTTATAAGCCCCAACGAAGGCATCCTGTACAAACAATGAGACTCTGGCACTTAATGTATATGCTTAGGAGTTTAACGGGGAACAAAATTCTGACGGTAAATAATGCTAAAGCATAATATAATTTCCGCATTAAAAGCTCTATCTGACAAAAGTAGACAGCAGGGAGATGACAGAAGTTCATAACTTTAAAGCCATGGTCAAAGAAATTTAAAATTGTATGCTCTAAAATATTGAACTCCAAAGTGCGGCTAAAGCACTGTTAGACAAACAGCGGATATCTTTTGAAAATCAAATTTCAGTAGATCTCAAAGTGGTTGCATCTCTTTTCTCTATATACTATAATTAAAACTTTATAGCCATTCAAAATCAAACATCAATCTTTATTGTGTTACTCTCGTTTAAGACATATTGGTTTTTGGCTCCGTTAAACTTACTTTCACTGTAGAATCATTGTTTATTCCTGAAAAAGTCATTACGGTGACTATTCATGCAGCCGCTACCTAGTATGAATGAGGATATGAAACTCATTGAGGAATACAGCGTAATGTAGCCCCTCTGAACACTATGGCAAGACCGTAATGAACCCAAAAGGCTTATCTCTTTAGTTATATCCAAGCGCAGGAAAAGGAACGATCTTCATGTCCATCGAAGGATGGATCTTCCTACTAACCTAAGTTCGTATCTTAAGGCATGGGAGAAAAATACAATGACGGAAAATCTGTACAAAAAGACGTTGAGGGCTATCACTATGAGATTACCAATAAAGAAAGCGCTATGATATTTCCGTCGTGTAGTCCATCAATGGATCAGTGTGCACATCTAAAACAGCAAATATTGCTAAAATTTCTACGTACGGCAGTGCTAGCTCTGTTGTCGTATGG